AATTCTCTGTAAAACATTTTTTTTTCCACTAATTTTTTATCTTTGCAATCAAACGAACCCGACAAATTTTGTAGCACGGACTTCTATATCTCATTGATATTCCATAATGGAGACGATTGAACTGTGAAACTATTATATAGACTAACGAGTAACAAAGGACTAAACATATTCTTTTACTTAAATACCTCTTTTATGAGCGATGAGTTTTCCGACGTGGTTCGTCCAATAAAGGAAATTAACCAATTAACACCATTTACCATATGTAAAAACATCCGTTCCATCAAAAGATCCATAGACCATAGTATACAATTAATTACGAAATTAAGATAATTTTTTTTAATATTCTTAAAATACTAAACTCATAAAAACAGAAACTGCATAAAGATAAAATATTGATTATAAGAATGACCACTTTCATGATGTGGACTAAGCTTCAAATCCCTGAACTGAAATCGTATATCTGAAAAATTAGAAAAAATTTCAAGTAGTATCATCTTCAAAATTAGTCACTGAAGATATCAGATTCGCCAGCTAAGCAGATACTTTTAACTTTTTGCCCATGTTTGAGTCACATTAAAAAATTTATTCTCATTATTCTACTCATTTTCAATTATACATTTTTCAATAAAATAATATTTTTCATCACATCAATAACTTTTCCTTCTTTTTCAACCACGCATTATTCATCAATCTACTATTCTAAAATACATTATTCCAAAATAATGTGGCTCAAACACACTCTTAAGTGCATATTGGCACACAAGATCGAAGAGGAAACAACAAATTTAAATAATATAAATAAGTTAAAATCTTGTTCGAAATATTTTCTAGTCTTTTGAATAGTACTAGTGGACGCACGTGCAATGCACGTGTTTCTGTTTAGTTGGCTACTTAATGACGTGGAACGATTTTTAGTTATTTTTGGTAATGTTTGTAATTTTAGTTATATAGAAAAACTGATTTTCTATTATACTGTATGTCATGGTATTAGAAGGAGGATTTGAGATTGTTATGGTATCCTAATACTTTCATCAGTCATGTAGGCACGAAACAAGTATTCACATTGTACAAAGAGTTGACTGCTTCCTCCTCCTTGCCGATGATCATCAAAAGCAAAAGCAAAAGGAAAAGCAAAATCTGTCAGATGAGTACATAGATGAATTAGCTGATTTTTCAGAAACATGATTCGCTGATTTTCTCAATGATCCTGAAGATTACACCGTATATAACAGTAGTATGATCACTAACGATTATACAAGATCTTGCCTAACACAAAATTATGACTTTCAAAAGAGCAATTTCAATTTGGATCAGAATTTGGATGATGTAGTATATCTTTCAAATGATCAATGCTCTAGTGGGGATGAGAACATTAGAGGGGAAATGGAATATGAAATTGAAAATGAGAATACTGGTCCAGATGATGTTGATTTCAAGTTTGTTGATGAACTGTATCATTTAATTGTACCCCCCTAAGAGATTTTGAAGGAGGATATGGAGATGAGCCATTGATGCTTAGTGAGGTCATGAAGAGGAATTATCAGAGAGTTTTCAGCCTCTCTCTATGCCTTCAATGGGATCCCAGAATGCCTCAAGATGAAGCTCAAATCTGGGACTGTCAATGAAAAAACAACTTTGTTACAAAGAAAGTTGCATAAGCCATTTCAATCGTAATGTTTTACATATGTCAATCCAAATTTTACTTATATCAATGAAAAAACAACCCAACTTCCAGAAACTCTGTCATGGCATCCCAGGATTTTTTGAACGCCAAATTTCATAATTATGCATAAGCCATTTCAATCCTACTGTTGCATCTTTAACCAAAACAAAGACCGTACGTGCATCTTTTTTTTTATGACTTATGTACTTGTGAAGGTATTGCCAAACACGCACTGTGTTAATTATCAAATTAACTTATCAAGCACCCTGCAAGGAGTTATT